ATCTTCAGATTCGCAGGGACCAGGGGCGAGCTGGCCATGGAGACCGGCACCTGCCTGGACGGAGTCGCCAACAGGATCCTGCTCTTCCCAGAAGGTCGAAGCGCTCAGAGGTCCAGGCGGGAGTCTGACCCAGCGTCCCAGCCTTGGCTCCCTCATGTCTGGCCCACAGCGCCCACAGCGCCCACAGCGCCCACAGCTCGCAGCTCGGGCGGCACATTCTGGAAGGGTCTGCGGGCCCTGAGGAGGAACCCACACTGAGCCGCCCTAGGCCACGACGTCCTTGACTTCCTTGTCCCGGGTGTGGCCTCCAGGACTCAGATCCAGTGTCGCAGAGAGAGCAGAGGGGCCCCTGAGGTGTGGGCGAGAAACAGAGGCGGGACCGCCCAGGGAGAGGCTGGGGGGGGGGGGGGGGGTGCGCTGCATCCAGCAGAATCGCCTTGGGTCCCCGGGACACCAAGAGCCGGTTTCCTATGGGTCAAAGCAGTTATTGCCTCCCTATGATCTTTTAAAACGCACACTTCTAAATAAAATCACACTATTTAAAAAGTAGTTACAAAACGAAGCCACCAATTCCAGAGGAAAAAAACTTGTAAATTACTTGAAGGGGGAAACTTTCAACCGGAAAAGGAGGACTGTGTCTTAAGACGCTGTCCCAAACGCGACTGGAGCCCCACGTTCACAGGGTTTGAAATGGTCCAAAGGGAAAGTCCACCCGTGACTGGAAAGGCTCACACAGGCGGCGTCGCAGAGACCGGCTTTCCCAGCAGGGAGGGTCCAGTGCGGGCGGGGAGCTGTGGCTGAGAACTGAGGACCGGTCGTCTATAACCCCACAATTCCTGTTGGGAAGGCGGGACATGGGTCGCCCATCTCTGATTCGGGCACTGGAGCAAGAACGGGGTGCGCACCACGGGCTGGACGACGTTCCCCCGGCGGGTCGAGGTGTCCTCCGCCCCGCACTCTCAGGGAGACTGAGCTGCAGGGGCCCTGGAGCCGGCGCCACCGCGGCCTGCCCGGGGAAGGCCCCAGAACGAGGCTGACGGAAAGAAGGCGAAGGAGGACGAGCTCCGCTCCGGGCGCAGGTGCCCTGCGGGGCGCGGGGCCGCAGCGGACCCTGGCCCTCGGAGCGCTCCGTCCCGGCTTCTCGGTTCACCCACTGGGGTTAAGGGCTCCCCGCGGGCAGCTGTGGGGCGGTTGCAACCCGAGGTGAGCCCACCAATCCAGAAGAGACCCCCCACCCCTTCCCGCCCCGACCACCACTACGTTTTGCGGAGTAAAACACAAGCCTGCGGCAGCTGGGGGAGGAGACGCAGGAAACGGGCGAGGGTCTGGTGGGGACTGGAGGGAGCAGGGGCCTGAGACCGAGCAGAAGTCCCCAGACCCAGGCCCCCACCTTGCCTCTGCCTGCCCCTTTCTGGATTCAGGGTCCCCCTCCCTACAGGGGCCCTGCCCCCCCCCCCCCCATAGGCTACAGAACCCTGGCGGAGGCGCCGGGGAAGGAGGAGGGCTGCGCTGGAAGAGGGGGGTCTGGAACCTGCGCCCCGGTACAGAGAGGTTCGATTAGGAAGGGAGGCTCCCCTTCGCCCGTGTCACTGCCTCCTGGAGGCTCTGGGAGCCAGAGGCTGAGAAGCGGGGGGAAGGGAGCCGGACGCCCTGCTGCCCGCCTGAAGCCCCTTGTAGCCGGCGCGGGAGAGGGCGGCTGGCCTGGGGCGCTGAGGTCACCTTTTCCACTGCGCCCGCCGGAGCGGACGGTTTCCGGGATTTTTGCAGCGGCGGCGGGAGGCCCAGAGGGTCCCAGGCGTGGGGTGAGGTGGCTTCCTCTGTGGGATAGATCTGCTGGGCTGGGTCCGCATGGGGGTGCGGAGGCCACGCTGCCCAGGGTTTCCCTTCTCTAGACCTCTATTCCAGGCGGAATAGACCCCACTCTTTGGGAAAACCCTTCGCCTGCGCAACTCGGCTATTGTGAGCACTCTTTCGCCTAAAAGGGTTTCTCTGTGAGTAGCCTGCTCTGGGATGGCGCTGACGGGACACCGCTTCCAGAGGATCTGCCGCCCAGCGGAAATGTGTGTGGGGCACACGGGGTAGAGGCCGGGCTCTTCCAGCCCTTGGGCCCGCCGAGGCCGGCTGGGCATTCCCTCACAGAACCCGGGGGCCTCATTCCCAGCCCTGGCGCTCAAGCTCAGGGCTCTCCTGGCTACCAGGGAAAGTCCAGGCCAGAGTTCAAGGGATGGGGTGGGGTGGTGGCCACACTCAGCAGTCTCAGGGCCTGTGAAATGGGGGTGGGGCTGGACTGCACTAGTCCTCTGACTCTCCCAAATCTAGAGTGAGGCCTGGATTCTGAAAATGATCTCCTACCCCAGGGGCAAAATAGTTTTGGCTAGGGCTGATCAATATGATCCCCAAGTCCTCTGATCTGAGACCCAAGCTCCCTCTATGGGATCTGAGTCCCTGCATGGGCTCAGAGATGGTGCAAAGCTGGAGGCCTCAGTCAGGGGCCCAAACAGGAGGTGAAGGGATGCAGTGGGGTGGCTGGGACTGACCCCCAATGAAGCTACTATCCTGGCTTTTCCTCCGGAAAATATGGAAGCAAGAAGAGGAGGAGACAGCATGTGGGCCCTACTGGGGTAGGGGGGATTGAGAGAAAATGAGCCCCATACTATATTTACAGGGAGCAAGAGAAAACCAACCCTACTCACTGTGGTCCTTGGGCCAGTGCCTTCCTCCTGCTGGGCCTCAGTTTCCCCATCTGAGAAAGTAGGTGGTTGTAGTAGGTGACACCTCAGAACTCATCTAGGGAGGGGTTCTCTGCATCTACATGTGTGGAGGGGTCCCAGCTGGGCTGCCTTGGACTCCAGGAGACACTGGCTTTTCTCTTGCCTGGTGGCTTCTGGGCCAACCAAGGAGGCAGGGCCCTACCCGCTGTCTCTCCACCTCTCACTGGGAGGGAGGCCTGCCCTGTGTGGGATCCATCACTCTTAGTGGGTCCCACACCATCCCCTTTTGAAGAGCCCTGTGACTCTCAGAACCACCCAAGGGTGGAGCACCCGGAGGCATCTTTCTGTCCCAATGATGGCTGCGAGGTTCAGGGAGGGGCAGCACCAGCAGAAGTCACTTAACCATCTGGGGACAGAGGCAGCTGGGCTCTTAGGGTCCTAGTCCTATCAGAGCCTCTGGTAAGACATTCTCTTGGTCCCTAAGGACAAGGAATCTTCACCATTCCCTAATTCACACAAAGTCCCTGGCATGTGCTAGGGCCTCAAGGCCTCACTGCCAGCAGCTGGAGCTACAGAAACTGCACCACCTCGGGGCAGGGCAGGGCCCTGGGGATAGTAGGCTCTATTTCCTGAAGTGCCCACTGAGACCCCCGGGCAAGCTCACATAAGAAGGAGAAGTGGCCCAGGACCCCAGGTGGGGGACTCCTGAGGGGCAGCAGGCACCCTCCCTTAGCTTCTTGGGGACACCCATCCCCATCTACCTTCACCTGACCCCTCCTTGCCCTGATGCAAAAACTCTCCAACAGACCCTCTGGGGCCAGCGGGTGCAGGACCCCCGTTCAGTCCTCACAGCCTGACAATAGCCAAGTGCTGGCATCTCCCTGGGACCAGTCAGGACACTGAGGCCCAGAATCGGGCAGTGCCTGATCTTGGAGTGGCAGAGGCAGAGAGAAGCTCAGAGGAGAGATGAGGTTTGGGATTGTTTCCCCCATGGCTAGAGTTTACATTCCTTCAGTGGTGAGAAGAAGCTAGAGAGGACTAAGGCCTTCCTCAATCACACTGGGGACTTTCAGGCTTAGAGATGAGACACAGCAATTCAGAGTTTGTCCCCAAACTCAAATGGCATCCCATGTCCCTCACCCAGCTCCGCCCAGTGCTGTTTTTTTCCGAGGTTCCAAAGCTGGAAAAAGGAAAAGTGTAGCCTTTCCTCCTCCTCTCATCCATTCCTTCCTCTACCTAGGATATGACCCACCCACAGTTCCCTAGGATTGCCAAGGAGGCACCCACAGTTCCCTGGGGTTGCCAAGGAGGATGTGTCCACGTACCGCTTGGCAATAAAGTAGATTGCGGCTGGAACAAATTTTCCTCTCAGGGTAGTTTGGTGGGGAAACATGAGGCCATGCCTGGTAAACTGAGGCGGGAGTGCATGGGTGCAGCCTCTGCTCTAGGAGTCGCCTTCCTGCCCACTGCAGCACCGCTGCGGGGTGGCCACCATGCTCCCTGGCCGGGAGCTGCGCACCGACACCCCTTTCCCAGCCAAGCCGCGTGGCCTTGGCCTCTCTTTCCGACCTCTCCCGGTCTCCTTAACCCGTACCCAGGCTGCTGCCCTTCCTAGCTGTCCCCTCTCTTTCTTTTCTGCCCCGTCTTTCTGGCCTGCCTGACTCTGAGCCCGCCGGCACGTCACTGCCCCGTTGGCTCCCGCGCCTCTGTTGGTCTCTGTCTGCGCAGGGCTAGGCGTCCCTGGCACCTTCACCTCTCTGTCTGGCATCTTGGGTGGCCCTTGCTGTCTTGCTTTGGCCCCTCTCTCACCTCTCTGGATCCCTCTGCTCCCTTCTCTGGGGGTCTCCTCTCCCGATCTCCCCCGTTCTCTCCTTCCTGGGCTTGCGCTCCTCTGGGTCTCCCTGGTCTGGGTACCCGGCCCTTCCCGAGGCCCCCCTCTCTCCCGCCTTCCTCCCTTCTTTGGCCCTCCCTCGGGCTCAGCCTGGGGTGGGGTGGGGGGCGGCCGGCGGCGCTGGGCGGGGCGGCCGGGCGGGGCGGCCGGGCGGGGCGGGGCGGTGACGCGGAGCCCGCCGTGCTAGAGGCGAGGCGGCGCGGGGCGGGGGCGCAGTCCCGGGTCCGACCGGCCGAGCCCCGCGCGCCCCGCCCGCGCCCTGCTCCTCCGCCCTGCCGGCCGGCGGGGGAGGGGGCATGAGCCGGCGCCCGCGCGCCGCCGGGAGCTGCGGGCCGGCCTAGAGCCCCGCGCGGGCCCTGCGCCCAAGCCACCGCTGCCGCTGAGCTGTGGGCGCTGTGATGCAGCGGCCGGGGGAGCCGGGCGCTGCGCGCTTCGGGCCGCCCGAAGGCTGCGTCGACCACAGGCCGCACCGCTACCGCAGCTTCATGATCGAGGAGATCCTCACTGAGCCGCCAGGGCCCAAGGGCGCCGCGCCCGCCGCCGCCGCTGCAGCCGCCGCGGGCGAGCTGCTCAAGTTCGGCGTGCAAGCGCTGCTGGCCGCGCGGCCCTTCCACAGCCACCTGGGTACGTGCGGGGCTTGGGCGCCGGCGCCTAGGAGGGAGGGTGAGCCGCGCCGTCGCGGGCACGCAGCTCTCAGCGCGTGGGCCTTGGTCCGTTCCTTCGCCCCGGCCTGGAAGTGGAGGGACAATCGCCTGGCAGTTCAGGAATCAGGCCTCGTGCCCGCGGCCGGGCCGGTGCTGAGGGTGTTCGCGCTCTCCTTCACTGCTGCGCTTCGGCCTCCACCAGGAGACCGAACCCGTGTTCCTATTGCGGGCGCAGGTTCATACTGCTAACCTCAGGCTGCGGGTCAAAGCGACCTGAGTTTGCGGGCGCCTGGGCCTTCGCCGCAAAGGACCTGCCGAGGGTGGCCGGGACTGCCCTAGGCGGGGAAGCCGGACCTTGGGGAAGACGCCTGCGTCTCCCGGTGCTGTGCCGGGGGCTGATGCAGGCCCAAGCCCTCCCGAAGCCTCCCGGAGCCCGTGGTCTCAGGCGGGCGACAAACTGGCCTCTGCTGCCGCATGGATACCCCCAGCTTTGCCTGGGGACAAGAGGCCAGACTGAGCCACTGCACGATTGGCCCTTCCGCTTCCAGGTCTACTGCGCCTCCGTGGAACTTGAACTTCCCACTGGGCCTTTTCTGTCCCTCTGGGGTTTTTCCTTCCCTGGCAGGGCCTGCTTTGCCCAGCCACTGCCCTCTCCACCGCACCCCTTGTTCTTCTGGCTATTCCCCCGTTTTCTTCACCCAACGTTGGCATCTCTTGGATATTTTCGATAGGGTGGCCTGTCTTCCCTCTCCCACCTTCCCCCAAGTTTCCTTCTTTCTGGCCTTCTTCTCACACCCCAAACTTGGCCTGACCCCGCTCACTCCGTGGGACAGCACCTGCCCACAGTGAGATGCCTGTGGGGAAGGAAGCCCCCCCCCCATGTTCTAGTGGGACCCCAGCCCTGCCAGCCATCGCCCTGGGCCCTGGTGACCCTCCAGCCAGTGCTCTGTCCTCCCACGGGGCAGCTGGGCCAGTTAGTTCGTTTTAAGTCCAACTTCGATGCAGCCTCACCGCTGCGCATTGCCTCCGCCGCACTGTGGCTAATAGTTCGTTTGAAGCGGGCAAAAGAAATTATTTATGGCTAATGAAATGGAAACATCTTCACCGGGAAGAGTTTTAACAGAGAAAACAGGAAGAATAATTTCGGGATTTGTGGAGTGTTTTGAAACTTTCGGAAAGGGCTCAAACCTACCCCTGCTGCCAACCCACTGCCTGCAGCCTGGCTGTTGTGCCCACACAGAGGAGTAGACCTGCTCACTCCAATGATATTCTTTCCCCGCAACGCAGCAATGCCGATTTGGTTGGGCCAACGCTCAGCTTCCTGTCCTGCCTGCTATCTTTTCTTCTTGGTTTCTCCTTTCGATGACACACGCTCTGTGCACCTTGGGGCTTCGAACTAGTTTATTGAGAATCTCGAAATCTCAAAGGCGGCATAAGCCTAAGGAACACAAAGGCAGAGTTCAGGGTGAGGGGGGGGGGTTCCTATTCCCGGACTGGGGGACACTGGCGTTGGAGCAGGTCACCCCAGGTGTGGCTTAAATCTCGCGCTTCGCAGGGCAGGAGGATTTCGTGCTGGGTGGCACTGGCCAGGCGCTAGCCCTCCGCCGGTGGCCCGGGATGTGGAGGGTGTCTCCCGGAGGAGCAGGGCCTGAGCTCATCAGACCCCCCGTTTTCTTCCCGCAGCCGTTTTGAAGGCTGAGCAGGCGGCGGTGTTTAAGTTCCCGCTGGCGCCGCTGAGCTGTTCCGGGCTGGGCTCAGCGCTGTTGGCGGCAGGGCCTGGGCTGCCCAGCGTTACAGGCACCCCGCACCTGCCCCTGGAGCTGCAGCTCCGCGGGAAACTGGAGGCCCCGGGCAGCGGGGAGCCGGGCACCAAGGCCAAGAAGGGGCGTCGGAGCCGCACTGTGTTCACCGAGCTGCAGTTGATGGGTCTAGAGAAACGCTTCGAGAAGCAGAAGTACCTCTCCACGCCAGACAGGTAGCTGGGGGCCGGGCCTACTCAGCTGGCAGTTGGGAGGGGGAGGGGGGCTGTTTGCCCTGCTGAGGATGCACTCCACTCTTTCCAGAATAGATCTCGCTGAGTCCCTGGGCCTGAGCCAGTTGCAGGTGAAGACTTGGTACCAGAATCGGAGGATGAAGTGGAAGAAAATAGTGAGTGTGAGGTTGCTTCTGAGGCCTGGGTTGCTGCCAGGCCCCTGGGCTCTTCAGGAGCTTCCCCCCACCCCCCACCCACCCCCGCAGTCGGTGCCTGGTATCCAAAGGGACCCTCTCTGCTCTCTCTGGTGCCCTTGCCCAGCCCACATTTCTTCCTGCCCCGCTGCATCCTCTGGCTTCCTGAAAGCCCTGAACCACTGGCCGGCCTCTGGTCGCTTTTCCCCAGCCGCGTTCAAATGGCCGCCATTTCCCCGGGGCTAGGCTTGGCCTCAGATGGCCTGTTGGGCCCTTCTGGGCCTCCTGAGCATAGGGCATGAGGTACTCAGTCCCACCTCACCGAGGCCGGCGTCCCCGCGCAGGTGCTGCAGGGTGGAGGCCTGGAGTCCCCCACCAAACCCAAGGGGCGGCCCAAGAAGAACTCCATCCCCACCAGCGAGCAGCTCACGGAGCAGGAACGCGCCAAGGAAGCGGAGAAGCCGGCGGAGGCGCCGGGCGAGGCCAGCGACAAGGGCCGCGAAGACTGACCGTGCAGTCCGGGGACCCCTGCGCCACCGCGGCTCCCCTCAGCCCGCGATAAGCCGCGAGCCGGCTCTTCCGCCTCCATGCTGTTTGCTTTCTAAACGTTTTATTATTACCTTGAATGCGGGCAGTTAGGGGCCAAACAAGGAAGGACACAGACCCTGAAGCCCAACCCGGGCCCCAGCGCGTCCCCTGCCCTAGCCTGGTGACTCACCCCAGGGGCAGAAAGTCGCCTCTGCCCAGAGCTCCGCGCGCCGGGCGCTCCACGCGCATTCACGCCCTGCTCCTTATCGCACCCCACCCGCCTCGGGCGGCCCTCGGGCTCGGACGCCACAGGCACACACCAGCTTCTGCGCGTCCGGGACCCTGTGGCCGCGCAGGCCCCCATGGCCAGAGACCGCGTACGGATAACCTGGCAGCTCAGCCCTGAGGCCGCTGGGTCCCTGACGACGCTGGGGCCCTTACCCCTCTCTTGCGAAAATGGTGATTTTTTTCCAATAAAATATTTTATGACACCATGGGGCTAAATGAGGGGCTTCTGAGTCCGCGCCAGGAGGGGGCGGCGAGACAGAAGGGACACTCCCAGTGGCTTATAAAACATCCTTCCCCCTTGCCACGTGGAAGCAACCCCTGACCTGCTCCACTGGGCCGACGCTGAGCATGGCGGTGGCTCGGGCTGCAGGATCCTCGGAATCGCTTCCTCCTGGACGGCAGGGCCAGTCTGAACTGCCCAGCCCAGGGCGAGCAGCCGGGCTATACAGGGGTCAGTCACAGGAGCGAGAGCCCCAGGCCACCGCGGGGTTCACTCAGGGAGTGGCGGGGGACTGCTAGCCGCCTCCGGTTGTTGATTCGGTCTCCTGGGATTTGAAGGACCGACCGTGATGGTCCCGGCCAGCCCTTCCAGAGGCGGACGGGAGCCGAGGACCTGAGATCCGCACAGAGGCCGCCACCAGAGGCAGCTCCGGCTCAGAGGCGCCAGCCTCGGAGTTCTCAGGTTTTCCGAAGCAGACGCCGGGCGGCGGCTCCTGGCAGGCAAGCCTGCGGCAGTGAGAGTTCCTGACTAGGCGGAGGACTGCGAGCTGCCGAGCTCGCTTAGGGCCCCCTTTCCAGGGGCAGCTGGGAGGCGCGTGCCCGCGGGCGCCCTCTAACCGAGGGAGAGGGAAGGCTTCGGTTGCTTTCTCTCTGGTCTAAACTGGGCTGGGGGTGTCGCCTGTCGATTCCAGTCCTTGCTTTTCCTACTGGGACAACGGCCACAGTATGGGATTGGGAGATGACCACTTTGCTAATTAAACCTGGGGGAGAGACCGTAGCAATTTGTCCCTGCAGAGTTCCAAGCAGGAGCAGGATTCCAAACCAGGTCCTTGCCGGTGCAAATACTCGGGAAAGAATCAGGAACATCGTGCTCAGATGCAGGCTTTGCGTTTCAGGATGTGAGAACAACCGCTAGGGCCTCTCCCTCGAGTGGCCATGGCTTCCTTTTCAAGTCGTGGCTTGACCGACACTTCTGAAACCTGCACTTGAATTTACCTGAGCACCTCGGGGTTTAAGACCAGGAGGAGTGAAAACCAGGATGCTTCCTGCTCCGCTGGGGTCCACCCAACGCAGGGATTCCCTGTCTTCCAGGAACCTTCCTGCTCCAGGCTCAGGCTAGCCAGGTGAGGCACACCGCTGCACTTATCCTCTCCACTGCAAACAGGAGGGAAGTGGAGGTCCCAGAAGTCCTGTCTGGGCTGGGCCTGGGGGACCAGGTTCCACTACAAGCTTTGTGGACCATGCAGAGTTATAGAAGGAAGGAGGGTCAAAAAAGAGAGAGGAGTCTGCCCGGCATTTCCTCCAGTTCTTTCCAAGTCCTCAGGTTTTACCAAATCGGAGGAACATGGCTTTAGGCAGATTACTCTGTGGGTCTAGGCATTCCCCCAAGGCAGTCCCCTCACTGGGCTGGATTAATCAGCCTCCAAGGACCAGGGCTTTAAGAGAGGGTGGGGTGGGGTGGACGTATCTAGTGAATCCTGTGCCAGAGCATGGGGCCCCAATATTCCAGGAGTATAGCCCGCCAGATACGAAACCTGAGCGGGCACGGATGTCGCGTCACCAGCTGATTAGTAGGGGAGCTGGGTCCCAAACTAGGAGATCTAGATTCTGGTGTGGGCGGGGTTGGGAGAGGTTTCTGTCGCTGCCTGCACCATTGCGCTCCTTGGGGACAGGAGTCGGGGAGACCGAGGCAGACGGAGCCCTCGAGGCCGCCAAGAAGAGCAGCCAGGCGCTGTCCATTAGGGCTGCTCGGGACTTCCTTGCTGGGGACTCCAGAACACCCGATGGACACCCAGGCCTGCTCCCGGGAAAGAGAAGGCATGAAGGCCAACGATGTGCCACCCATGCCTAGTCCCAGAGCGCGGACCGCAGCCCTCACAACCACAACTCTAGGTACAAGGCTGCCTCCCATCCACCGAGGTGACGCTTTGCCTCGGCCTTAGTGCCACCTGCCCTGGTCACCCCGCTCTGGTCATCCAGGCCACCAGCGGACCGCCAGCAACAGCGTCCCTCGATCCAGGCTCTTAGTTTAGGAAAGAGAAGGTCCCCTGTTCCCTCCAGGCTCCTCCCACAGCACATATCTCTTCTACCCAAGGTCCTGGGAAAGGAAACCCAGAGATGGCTGAGTTAGCGAACGAGGTCGCTGCTGCGTATCGTCTTTGGAGCCCGGGGACCAGCGGCCGCGGAGGGAGCGGGCTTGGGCGTCTTCCGAAAGCCTAGGCCTGGAGTGGGTCGGAGGCGGGGTATGGGGGGAGCGTGAGGGTCGGGCGGCCAGGACTCTCCTGACGTTAAGAGTACCAGTGGCGCGAGGGCTGAGCACCGAGATTGGCCTGGCGGCAGCGCCCCCCAAAACGAGAAGTTTACACTTGGCTTGGGGGAGGGGTGGGCCTTAGGAAACACTTTTGGGGAGGGTTGGCTGAAGGGCCGCTAGGGGGATTGCATCCCCACCCTGTGCCTCCGAAACTGACCAAATTCATGGAAGCAGGAGCCTAACTCTGGCGCCCTTCAGCTCAGCCAGCACGCGGGAAGGTTTGGGGACAGACGCTGCAGGGCTGGGGTCCGAAGCCCCTCTCAGAGTCTAGGACTTGCGGCTGGTTCCGCGCACAGGGTAGGCACCGCCAGAAGGTGACAGGCGCAGCCGGATCGGAGGTTCCCATCCCTCCTCCTGCCTCCCTCTTTTGTAAAAAAATTATAAAGGTTACTCTGGTTTACTTCCTGCCCCCTCCCCCCTTTGGGTTCTCCTGGCGGGTCACTGGTGGGAACCTATAGGGTGGAAGGAGAGAAATGCCGTCCCAGGCTACAGTAACCGCATCTCCTGGGGTGGAGGGTGCTCTCTTACTGCACCTGTAGAGAGACCTAGGCCGAGCAGGTCTCTCAACCTGGCACCCTCCCAGAACTCCAGGTTCCCAGGAGAAACCTGGCATGTCTTCCATTTTCTGTGGCCCCACTGCCTGCTTTCGTTTCTACACTCCTGACCCAAAAGTGACATCCTTGATTACACCCTTGTCCGGAGAGGGGACCAGTTGATCCCCAGAGCCTCTGTCCTCAAGGCCTTTCCAGGCTCAGGTTTCCTGGGCCAAAGCCAGGCTAAGGTGGGCCACAGACACCCACGTGCCCTCCAGCTCAGAGTGGCAGGCTGTGGGAGCTGAAGGAAACTTCTCAAACCATCTTCTCAGCCTCCCTTTAAGGCGGTAAGGGAACTGCAGACCCCCACTCCCTGCTGGTGGGTGGGCAGCAAGGTGACTGCAGCCAGGGGGCTTGCAGGTGAAATCAGCCTGGCTCTGGGCCAAGCTCTCCCCTGCCCGGTTCCTGGGCCACTCCACACTCCTAGTGCAGGAGGAGGTGGGTCCACCTTCTGTTTGAAGTAAGGCCTGGTGGGGGCCCCTGACTTGGCAGCACCTTCACTTTTGATCCCTCCCTGACTTTGCAACAGGCCTCTCACTTGTGTGACTTCAAAAGTTCCCTTTCTCCTAGTTCTCACACTGTATTACAGACTGTCATCAGCTTTAAGACAGCATCTTTCCATTTTTCAAACCTGGGTTCACGTGGCAGTTGGTGAGGGGGGTCCCAGGAGCTATGGGCCCTTTGCCTGCAGGGAAGGACTGCCCCTGAAGCAGGTGTTCCAGCTGGGCGTGGTGGCCCTGCCACGCAGGCACCAAGCCTCGATGGAGAAAGCCGAGAAGCCTGCGAGGGAGAGAGGGTCTTGCTGTGGGCACAGAAAGGCCTGGGCACAGCGTGGAGGGAGCTTGGGCGGCTCACCTGGGAGGCAGTGACCAAGTGGGATGGGGCTGTGGGACGCTGAAGTGGATCCATTCAGTCAACTCTGACTTTGAAGAGGTTTTAGAAACACCTCAACCCACTGATTTCCCTGATAGTTTTTCTTATGTAAACTCATCAGTGATCGGTGATAAAAATCTAGGTCTTAATAGGCCAAAATGGGATCTTTGAGTCAGTATAAGGTCACAATTCTGGGCGATACATAAGCAAGGGGTCAGTGCTTCATTGGCAGAGTTTTTAAAAATGTTATTTTTTGTGCTTCAGGAAATAATGGTGTCTGACATCAGTGGCGTCGGAGATGCTCTCATGTCACACACTTCCTATGGCCCTTCATTCATTTGACAAGTAGTTACCGAGTGTGGCAGGCAGTTTACAGCGCTGGCATACAAGCCCTGCCCCTCGACTCCTTGATCCAGTAATAAGCAATAAAGTAGATGCCCTACTCTCATTTCCCAGATAAAAATAAAACTGAGATGTTAGGCAACTTGCCTATGGACATGCAGCTATTTACAGCAGAATTTGTGTGTGACTCCAGCTCTGTGGGTTTCCACTGTCCCTCACCCAGCAACTTTGAGGTTCAGTTTGGGGTGTCCCAGACGCCTTAGGGTCCCTGATGGCCTTTGCCTGCCTGGAATCTGCTTCCTCACCGAGTATTTATTAAATGCCTGCTGTGTGCCAGGCACTGGGCTAGGCTTGG